TCAACCTTTTGCTTGAATTCATCACTTGATGGATCAACATTGTCAGGTAGAGTTCATAATAAGAAGAACTCATCTGAAGAATGAGAAGAAGTTCATAATGAGAAGAACTTGTTTAACCCTTTGCATGACTCTATCACAGAAGGAGATAGATCAACATCAACATTTCCAAAAGTGTTCATAATGAGAATAACTCATCTGAAGAAGGAAGAAGAAGTCCATAATGAGAAGAACTTGTTCAACCTTTTGCTTGAATTCATCACTTGATTGATCAACATTGCCAGGTAGAGTTCATAATAAGAAGAACTCATCTGAAGAATGAGAAGAAGTTCATAATGAGAAGAACTTGTTCAACCCTTTGCATGACTCTATCACAGAAGGAGATAGATCAACATCAATATTTCCAGAAGTGTTCATAATGAGAATAACTCATCTGAAGAATGAGAAGAAGTTTATAATGAGAAGAACTTGTTCAACCTTTTGCATGACTCTATCACAGAAGGAGATAGATCGGCATCAATATTTCAGAAGTGTTCATAATGAGAAGAACTCATCTGAAGAATGAAGAAGAAGTTCATAATGAGAAGAACTTGTTCAACCCTTTGCATGACTCTATCACATAAGGAGATAGATCAACATCAACATTTCCAGAAGTGTTCATAATGAGAAGAACTCATCTGAAGAGGAAGAAGAAGTTCATAATGAGAAGAACTTGTTCAACCTTTTGCTCGAATCCATTGCAGAATGAGACATATCAACATCAACATTGTCATTCTTAATCAAATCCATCACAGAATGAGGTGAATTGTATTTCCCAGTGGAAGAGTTCATAATGAGAAGAATTCGTCCGAAGTGAATGAAAAGTTCATAATTAGAAGAAATTTTAGATCAGAAGTTTGAACACTTTAAGCTAAAAATGGTGCTTTATATCTTTGCTCCATTCCTGTTTCACAGAAATGAGCAAAGAGGGGCAACTGTAATCACCATTTTTACCTTAGCCTCCAGCAGCTGCCAACACTTCAACAGCAGTTGTCCCTCCACGTCCACATTCCAGCATCTTCCACCAACAGCAGCTGGTCATCCATGTTTCAGCAACTCTCCAGCAACTGCCAACACTTCAACAACAGTTGTCCCTCCACGCGCACCAACAAGCAAGCAACAACACAAAAATTATCATATGTAATTTTCATTTTTTCTTTTATCTTACACATGTAAAACCAGGGTTATAAAAACCCAAAGAAAGATTGTAAGAGACAGGCAGCAGTAGATGGTAAAAAACAAGAGCAATACAAAGAAAATCAGAAACAAAAATACAGAAAATGTTCTCTTCAATTTAGTTTTTTCTTTTATTTTTTAGCTTTGTATATATATATATATTCGAAATAAAACAGCAAATATAAGAGAAAAATATAGGATTTTTACCTTGGGGTTTCGGGTACCACATCACCGTCGAAGTCAGGTATAGCGTCGGGAGGTGAGCTTACGCGGTGGCCGAATTTTTTAGGGGCATCGGTCACATAAGAGGAAGAGAGTAAGAGATGAAAAGGGAGATAAGCCTTGGGTTTAGGCTCGTTTAAGGAGTGTTTTATCGGTCGGAGTGTGAGGACCACCAAATCGGTGGCTAGCGATGGTGGGTTGTTTTGGTTGAGCGGCGCCGAAGTGAGGGGATAAGAAAAGGAGATGAGATGAACGGGGAAGGGAAGAAGAAGGTTTAAGTTTTTTTTAGGTTTTAATTTTAGTTTTTTTAGATAAATATATTAGGATTTATTTTAATTTTAAAAAATTTTCTTTTTATACCCCTAAACATTTACAACATTTTTACATTTTAAACCAATAGTTTTAGGGTTAAATCACATTTAAATCCCTTACATTTCCTACGTTTTTTCGTTTTGGTCACTGATATCCTTTCTTTATTTTTATTTTTGAATTTGAGCATATTAATTTTATTTTGTTTCTATTCTAGTCATATTTACATTTTATTTTATTTTAACATTGATATATTATTTTTATTTATTTATGTTTTGGTTATTTGTTATATTTTATTATATTTTATTTTAATATGTTGTTTGGTTTGTTCACAATTTTGTCATTTAAGTTTTATCTTATTTTAAATTTTTGATATATTGGTTTTGTTTGATTATATTTTTGCCAATGTCTAAATTATAATTTGGTTATTGCTTTTATTTTATTTTTATTACTGTCATTTATTTTTCAATACTTTAAATTTAGTATTTTAATTATTGCTCTTTATTTTTATTTTTATTTTATTTTAGTCATATTAATATATATTATTTGATTAATTTTATAAGATGATAATATTTATTTATTTATTTTATATCAAAGAAAGGGACAGTCTTAAAGCAACTAGATGTCCTATTCAGATATTCTTAAATAAATAAATATCCTTATTTTATAAATTATATATATTTTAAATTATTAGGAAAATGTTTTTATTTATTTATTTATCAATATTAAGAAATGACAGTCTTAAAATAACTGGATGTTCATTTTCTGATATTTTTAAATGAATAAATATCATAATTATAATAACTTAAATATATATATATATATATATATATATATTTACTTTACTTTTATATTTTAATATATTTTCTTAGAATTATCTTAGGATTGTAAATTAAATTCATATTCGAATTCTTAAATTCTATTATTAGAGACAATTTATAATCGACAGGTACCAATTTTGGGCATTGTGGGGGTGCTAATCATTCCCCAAACGTAACCGACCATAGATCCCTTTTTATTAATAAAAAGAATGAATTTTTGGTTATAAACGCAGATTGGCTTATTTTTTAAAAAAAATGGTGTTTTCTTAAAAACTTTTTTAAAATATGATTTTTAGGTATTCGACCTACCTAACCCAAAAAGGTTGATGGCGACTCTCAAAACATTTTTAATCAAAATCATTTTTATCCACATTACTTTTTCAACCAAGTAAAAAATTCGTGCCCGGGCGAAAACCGGTTACGACACATTGCAATGGTTCTCTGCTGAAACTATATACCCACATACATATGTGTGGGTGGGTGTGGAGAATTCTTTTCAAATTTGTCTATGGATTTTGCTGCTCAGTGTTAGCTATTAGTTTTAATTTAGATTTTCCTTTTATCATATTGTACGTATTTTATATATGACTATCAATCTTCTTTATCTGAATATTCATCTACGTCCTTGATAATCATCAACTAACATTGTTTCTTTAGTCCAAGTAGGAAAATTCCTTGTACAGCATCTGAACCGAGTCTTGTTCTATAATTGAATCCAAGAAATAATTATTAAAATTACCAACCGAAACTTGGAGAGAGAGAGAGGAGGAGGAGGACGCGAGCTGCAATAGATAGAAAGGGTTTATTCGATTACATATTTACATTGTTTGGACTCCCAAGAAATGGAAATGGTGCTCTTAGAGCTATCAAAACATCCAATAAACTTCATATTTCTCTGCTTTCGACACAAAACGAATCATTGCTGATGACAATGATAAATTCTAAGGTACTGGTTTAGAATGGTATTCGGCTCCTATTATAATTGATAATCAAATCTTAAACAAGAAAAAAATTATTTAATCAAAGAAAAGGACAAATAAAAAACGAGGACATAATAAAGGGAAGAGTCAATAGAGAATTATACAAAAGGTTTACTTTTTTTTATTATAAAGTAATATTTATTCAGATGTTTTCTTAGTCTATTAATGACATACACTATGCTTGTGATAGAACATTATTATTTTCTGTTGCATTTTTCCAATAGTTTGGTAAAAATATGCATATTTTAAATAATTTTATTAAAGAGAGAGGTATATTATAATTTAATCTGAGAAATATTTTAAATTAAACACGACTTATGTATTTGATTAAAAATAAAAAAAAATAAAAAATATTGCAAAATTAAAGTAATTAGACCCGTAATAAAATTAAGATGATTAGATTCAATATTATTCAAGATATGATTTGTCAGACTAATTTGAGAAATCAAAATTAAATTAAATTTGAATTCGAATAAAAATAAAAATAATCTAAACTGGGATATAATTAAATTTGCAAATCAGTTTAATAAAACAAATAAGGATAATTCAATTTGAAAATGTTTTCTTTTTCATTTAAATGTCACGGTGATCTAAAGATGAGACTGAATTCTTAAAAAGCAGAAAAAACATCATCATTATTAGTATTATTATTGTTAAACATAGGGGAGTTCATTATTTGGTTTTAACCTAATTAATCAATCGAATCGAATTAGTTCGATCGGTGAACTGTTAATACTTTTTTCAATATTCGATTCACGGTTAATTAGGTTCGAAATCAGTTAATTAATCGAATTAACCGAAATTATTAAATATTATATAAATTATATATATTATAAACTTATTTTAAGCTCAAACCCATCAAAAATTAATATCCTACTATTTTTTTAATCACACTAGACTCATTAAATTATCAATACCTAATTAATTTTTAACTCTAATAAAAAATACATATATTATATTTAAATTAATCTAATTATAAAAAATTATAAAAAAAAATCGGTTAATTCTGTTAACCGACCAAAATAACTAAACTTTATTCAATTCGATTAATATTTTCAAAGAAAATTTTGGTTCGGCTAACGATTAAAGAGAAAAAAAATCGATTAATTCAATTAATAGTAATTCGGTTCAGTCGGTGGCCGAATTAACCGTTTGAAAACCCCTAGTTAAACAGATGAACATCATTCGGTATGTAATATCTCTGGCCAATGCACGCATAAGATTAACAAAGGTGAAACGAAACCGGATTAAATAACTTTTGATCCTTAAACTTGTTAATTTTTTTATAACTTGATCCTAATATACTTTCTATTTGCAATGATGGTTGAACATGAGTTTTTAATTATTTTGATGATATAACACTGAGATTGTACAAAATTTGCTTTATCTCCAACCAAAATGCGGTGGGAGCTAAGAAAAGGCTGTATTCTTTTGCAAATAAATCAATCTCAGACAAGTTTCTCATTCTCAAACATCTCGAAAATGGAAAACCGAATAAGAAAAATTCTAAGAAATTGCATGACACATGATTGTACAGAAAACAGAGTTGCAAGTGTGTTTGCTCTCACCTATATGAACAATTAGGCAAAAAGTCAGGGAATCTCCGTCCAAATAAGGAGAGGAAGCTAAAGAGACTCACGGGTCGTGCCGCTTTATAGGATCATAGTGAAGACCCTTGATAACGGAGCCAACCTGATTCGCAGCGATACTTTTTGTTATCTCGGCAAACTGGATGATACAACCCCAACTTGAACCGAAGGATAACCGGGAAGTTTTTTCGGTTCTGGGCTTGATCTTCCCTGTAGAAGAGCTGCTCTCTGGGGGTTTAAAAGCAGAAGCTGTTGCATGTCGACTGGAAGCACGTTTAACACTGCCTGTAGATCACCTTTCAGTTTCTGGCACATTGTTGTGGAGTCTGATAAGCCCCTTCCAGATTGCAACAGCTGAATATCACATGCAGCGAATGGTTTTAAAATCATTACACCGTGCCCCAGTAGTCATATTTATAAATTTAAACATGAAAACATTAAATACGTAATTTGAGAAAAACAATAATTATGAAGAACATACATGACGGATGCTTATACGAATCATGTATTGGCATTTCCCTTTTGGCTCAGTCTTTTTTGGGGGCAAAAATGAGAGTATGAGGTCACTTCATGGAAGACACAGGCTTTAGTTACATGTCCTAAAGATAACTCTTCTAGCAGAGCATATCTTACGATTCGTTTTAAACTAAAAGAAGACTTAAGGTGCACTATGATTTCACTAGGATTCTCTTCTTTTTTGTTGTTATTGTATTTTTTTTTGGAATGAAATTTTGTTGTTATTGTAACATATACAAAACACAAGCTTGTTTGCATGATAATAGTGCTGACGCATGGTCTATTGGCACATTTAGGGAAGAGAGAGAGAGGGTCATTCAAGACGGGAGTTGCTACATTAAGCTGATCGCTGAAGAACAAATGACAAGAAAGTTCGATTGCAAAATTGATGGTTGGTAAAGTAGAGCTGCTGGCAGAAGACAGTTAGGAAGCGGTGAAATTACTCATTCAAAACCCAAAGAGAAGGAAAAAAATCATCAAAACAAAGTTGAGTACAAGCTTATTCAACCAGAACATCAAGTCTAGTGAAATTTGACACCTTTTTGGTTGTTATTTTGTAAATTGCTATATGCTTTTGCCGACTTTATGCTTCCAAAAGCAAAAGGCACGTTATTTTAATTCCACAAACAATCAGTTTATATGAATTAGAGGTTTTCTTTCAACTATTTGCTCATTTTTTGGCCAAATATTATTTGTTGTATCCAATATGCTTTTGCTTTATATCAAATGAAAACACACCCAAAAGAAAATATACGAAGTAAATGTGATCAGTGATTCTATTATTTCTTTGAATTTTACTTATTTTGTACTTTAGCTATCAACATATTAAAGAATAAAATTAAGCATTAACATTTGGATCCAAAGGCTGTTTGCATCTAGATATGAAAATTCTTATTCAGTAAGACTCCTCATATTCTGATTTCCATGTCGGTAGTTTCTGGCACTACAAAATTGACGGTAGCAGAGTTATAACATTGGAGAGAAAAAGACGGGGAAGCAAAACTAAGATTAACATAGAGAGAACTACATTAAAAGAAGTTCATGAAGATTCGAGAGCGGGAGTCTTGGATACTTTTTTTTTTTGAAGAAGAAGAAGGGATGAAATAAGAAAAAGGGAGGAAATCGGAATGAAAAAGAAAGACAGCAAAGGTTGAGGAAAGAGTGGAAAGGAGAACAAGGTCTATGTGTCAACATGAATCAGGAGCCCCTATTCCAGACTAACTGATGCCCTCGGACTAATTAACAGTTCTCCAAGCAGATTACTCTTAATAGCGTTGAAGCAATCAATATCAGTCAGAAACATCTACTATCATCCTGAAAAGGGGGGAAATTACCTGTATTTCTTCAAGAAGATGCCTCTCAATAGCATTAAGGCAGTCAACAATTTCCAGTTCAGGCATTCTAGATATAAGGAGATGTATGTCCGTTAAGAAAACGCCTGAATGCAAAGAGAATCCATCTCTAACTAAAATGAACAATTAAAATAGACTCTAGGAACCACAGATTGCATGCAAAAGCTGGATGACAAAATTAACATGCACAAGCAATACACATAAAAAAGAAACCAACTAACAAAGCTGAGAAACATTCACATTACCCATACAGGTCCAGCCAGTTAGATCTCATACGCTTGGATAGAAACTTGCCTCACAGCATTGTGGAGGAGTTGGTTCTATGATAAGAATTGGCTCAACGATAAGTAACAACTCCCACAATAACCAAAGTTGCAATAAAAGCCCTCCGACTGTTCCGAAAATATCAGAATCATGAAATAGACCTTGAGGCATTGATTGATTATTGGGAAGAAAGGGAGCCATAGATGAAGCAGATTCCTCATATGACATTCCACTTTCCAAAGGTAAGCTGTGAGGAGGTGGCAAGGTAACTTTAAGCATTGCATTCCCAATTGGAAGCTCCATTAATTTGCTAGGTACAGGACTATGCCACAAGGAAACGTAACCAGCAATATGTTCAATAGCTTTTCTTCCTATATCAAAGTAAAGAGGGCCCATGATTTGTAACAAAGGCCTAAACACACTAGAGTAAGGCCCATGCGACAAAATTACTACTGATTTTTGTTCCCCGCCTAGTTTTAGCCTCTCATCATGCCTTTGCCTATTGAATACATAACCATACAAGTACTTTGAACTTTTATTACCAATACTTGATCTCGGAATCAAATTCTCTTCTGGTGTTGAGGTTGTTTCTTTATGATCAATTTCAGTTATTTCAGATGAAGTAAAATGGGCCTGTTCGAAATGTTTCTGCCTTCGGAATCGAAAAAGAAGACGCAATCGTGGATACTGGAGCAGTTCTGGTAATGCGAAACGGAATCCGAACTAAAAGCAACCTCAAGTTCCTCTTCTTGAGTGAGACTACCAGGTGGATAACAGTCTTCTATGAGCTGACCTTGTTCGAGATCAAATCTAATGATACAAAAGGCAACTACCCATCGCTGCAAAGCATCCGAATCAGCTTCTAAACTAAGCTCCGACTTCACAGAAAACGAAGGGGATCGACTCATTTCCTAGTGCTTTTTTCAACAGCCTCCCTCATTAATAAAAAATACCAAATCTTAATCATCTTCATCCACCATTCTCATGAAAGTTAACTCATTAAATACCAAATTATTCAATTAAATACAGTTCTCTTCTTTCAGAACTCCTGTATGCAAAAAGGAAAAAAATAAGAACTACAGAAAATGTTTATTTCGTTACTGAACAGAATTTGGGGAATGGGGACTAAAGCAACTAAATTGCAAAAACTGGGAGCAGTGTGAATGTCATAATTGCATCCTAAGCTAATAATTAAACCAAAAACAAAGTGAAAAAAAAACAAGGATCTAAAAAATGGGTAATTGAAACTTACCAAAATGGAAGAACCCATAAACGGTAGTAGAAGAAACAATCTGGGTCAGAGGAGATATGAGTTCCCAATTGGCCAGCAACAGATGGGTAGTCGTTAATTTTCTGAAAAAATGAGGGAAAATATGAGGTTTTTTTTTATATTTGATTTTGCTTTGCTTCGAAAACCGTACCAAAAATTCCCAATTATTGAAAAGTATAATTTACATTAACCAACTTTGATAACATACTGAAACATTTCGATGGTGAATTGAAACAGGTAATCTAATTCCGGTTATATTTTTCAGACGGAAATTTAATCTCTCTTTCTTCAATGCAGAATGAGTGCTGCTTCCCACACTGGGAATCGCGAAAGGTAAATGGTGGATGTAATATTACGATGATTAAAAAGGATAAACTTCCAAGTTCACCTTCTCATTCATTATTGTGGAATATTAATCGAATTTAATGTTATGAATTTATTTTAATTCTTAAATAAAATTATTCTAATTTATTTATTTAAATTTAAACGCCTAAGTTGAAAAGCTTTAATACACAAATTATGTATTAGTTCACCTATAACCATTTATCATTTTTAATACATTATTAAAATATATTTACTATAAAACGACCGACTGAATTAATGTCGCAATTGTTTAAAATTCTTTAAAATTTGATAAAGATTCCTCCAAAAGAATTTTTTTTATATAAATATGGGGTAAGTACCTGTATTTGTTCAAAGATAACTCTTAATCATTTAATATTGAACGTTTAAATCTTTAATAATCCTGATGCTTAAACTCGAGACCTCAAAAAATAACAACAATTCTTTTACAACTAAGATCGATTGATTCGTGCATATTACTCCTACTTATCTTCTGCAATTTGAATTATTAATGTATAATAAATTGTTCTTATGTTAATTTTAAATTAAACGTTTATTTTATTATATAAGATGGATTGATTCAAACCACAAAAGGAACAATTCTTATAATATTTTTTGTGGTTCGTACTCATTCACAAACTCACAAACCCTTGGGTAGTTTTCAATTTTTTTCGTTCATGGTAGTGGTAGTGGTGTTCTCCGATCGCCGCTTGTTATTTTTATTTATGTTTTATTGTATTTACTATAATAATACTATTGGCCCTTTCTCTAATAAAGGGTATCATGGCTATCGGTAAAGGTTTTTATTTGGAATTCTTCTTGATTTTTTATTTTATTTGAATACATGGTTGTTGCTTTCCCGACGTATGGTTACTCTCTGTTCGTTTGTTCAAGACGATCAATTGATTATCGGATAAAGGTGTCGGATGGGATTGTTGTTAAGGGGAAATCACTTTTTTCATTGGCTATTTTAATTATTCTTCAAGTTTCTCTCCTCCATGTTTATGCTCAGAGTCGTTGGTTTGTTCAATTTTTTACATCGTTGATTCACTTGTTAATGGTTTTGTTTATAGTTTATCTCTCTGCGATCATTGTTATATGTTATTTCGATAATTATGATTAAATTTATTCAATCTATATTTAGTAAGACGTTTGTTGATGTGACTTCGATAAATGAAATATCTTGTTTATGCTAAAAAAAATATTTGTGGATTTGTTAATTGGGCCAAAGCAACTTCTTCAGTGTGGAACGCTTAACCATTTTCTGTTGGCCCACGCGCTGGGTGCTCTTTCCAACAACCCAAACCATGCCCAGTCGAACATTCATCATTTTCATAAATCTTTTCAAGAACAACGTATAAGACAAAAGGAGTCGTATATATAATAAAGGATAAACTACATACTTAGTACTTAAATTGTCAGTTTCGATCCGTTTTAGTATCTAAACTTTTAATTTTTTCAAAACAATATTTAACGTTTAGTTTTTATTTCATTTTAGTATCTCACTGTTAAAAATTTAACACATTTAATATTTAAACTATCAATTTTGGTATGTTTTAGTACTTAAACTTTCATTTAAAAAAAATTAACGTTAAAATTTTAACATAATACTAAAATGAAATAAAAAAATAAACTTTAAGTATGATTTTAAAAAAATTGAAAGTTTAAAAATTAAAACATATCAAAATAAATAGTTTAAGTACTAAACGCGTGATTTACCCTATAATAAAACCTTTTTTCCCATTATTTCCATATGCAGCCCTAACTAAATAATGTTGATGGAATGGAGCGGGTGACACTGTTATAATTATTTGGCATAAGGGTTATTATTGTCCTATAATAAATTTAATTTATTATTTTCGTCTATATCATTTTTCCTATCAATTTAGCTCTTGAAGTTATCTATGGCATTCATCCTAACTCACTAAGTATGTTTTGAGTAATATAACTATTAGTCTTCTTTATTTTTCAACACTAGTAATTTATAGATCAACCAAATATTAACGATGTGATTTGATGATGATGTGATATTTATTAAAAATAAATAATAAAATATTTATAATATTTACTAAATACATATGTTAGAAAAAATCCTTAAAAAGTTGACATAATTTTTTAATCTCATCGAAATAAATAATAAAATTTTGGGATTTTGTTCTAACGAGAGTGTTTAATAAATATTTTAACTTGATCCCTTAATCCACGTACTCAAAGACTCACAATTATGTTAGTAAAAAAGTCAATGAACTTCAAGGGTTATGATGAACAAGATGGACAACTTCGAGAGCTAATTTGATGTAAAAAAAGTGATAAAGACAAAAATGATAAATTATATTTACTACATAAGCTATAGTGACCCTTAAGCCTATTTATTTTCATCCCATCTCACAATAATACATTTAAAAGACACAATAAAATAAATATTAACTATTTTGATTTATAATAAAAACAAGTCATTAAATTGAAAAAAATAATCTTCATAGTAGATATTTACCTATTTAATTTCAATTATTCGAATATATAATAATTGAGAATTATGAGTGACAGACAATAAGAGTAAGAAAGTCTTGATTCATCCACCCTCGCATGCCTGACAGTGACCAATTTTGTTTGTCTGAAAATACAAAATTACCAAATTTAGTTTACTGTGAAGTTAGTGACCCCAATATACCTAAATGCTTAGCTTGTAATAGAAAACGGTTCACCCCCTGAAGAAGATACTCAAATGTAAGCCCACGATGAGTTGATTTTTATATGTTTAAAATTTATTGTTATCTTCTTTAAAAATATCATTGTGCTTAAAATATATTCTTTAACGTATTAATCTTTTATATGTAACATATACAAAACCTTACATCCTTTCTTCAATGTTCAGTTTATGATAGAAAAAAATCTTATATCTAATCCTCATAGGTTGGTTAAGTGATAAATATTTTGATATCATTTAAATAATGTCTCAAATTGAAGTATTTGTATATATAAAATTCACTAAAATTAAATATACAATTTAAATCGATCAAAATTAATCAGATAAGTCCAATTAACAACTACATCAAATGATTTGTGTCAGCAAAAAGTATTATCTTTACCTTTTTTGTTTTTTGTTTTGGTATGAAATAGTGTTAAAAGAACTTAAATCACAAATTCAATATTTTATTTTACTTATTTCGTTTTTCATGTACGTAAAAATTAAGAAAATGGAGTTAACGCGGAAAGCAGCGTGAGAAGAAGCGGCTCAGCTCAACATGTGGTGGTGCTAATCGTGGCAGAAAAGGGAGGAGTCGGGAACAACGGCGGCCAGAAATGGTAAGACCAGATGGGGAGTGGCTTGAGATAAATAAGGTAAGAACAAACAAAAGCATTGGGATTGAAA